ATTTGTCTGTGTTCATTTGATAATATGTTGTTGCAGGGACCTGGAAGGAAATCTCATTGAAGTGATTGGCAATGCCTCATTCAGCTCATGCACCATGCTGACAGTTCTGTAAGTATAAATCTACATAATTTATTACATTGCTGAGGTGCAGTCTTTGCATTTACATTTTTTCTTTTGCTGCAGTTCCTGTAAGAGGATTGCAAATCAACCTTAGTTTCATACAAATTGATGAACTGTACTATCCTATGTGTGGGATCAATTCTGGCAGTTCATTAAATGGGATTAAGGTAGGAAAAATAGTCATATAATTCTTTCTGTGTCTGTTGCCTGTCTCCAGGGTTCTGCAGCGAAATAGGATCAGCTACGTACATGAACAGGCTTTCTCAGTCCTGCAAAAGCTTGGAGAATTGTAAGTAAAAATATTTTGCACAAACAAACTTAAAAAAAACAAAACAAAACTCTCAGGATTGTGCCAAAAAAAGCTGAATTGAAGCCATGTAAGATGTGGATTTTGAAGATTCATTGTGATTAATGACTCAAGAAGTTCCAAAAGAACAGAAGGAAACGACAGCATTTAAAAACACTATAAAAGCTCTGTTCTATTAAAAAAGCACTGAAATAGCCAGATCTATGCTTTAATCGCTTCCGAAGATTATCCTAGACGTCATTAAAACCGTCTGTAACATCTAAGATACAGCAGCTTCCTGTCTAAGAAGGACAAACTTCAAACACTGCTCAGTGCAAAAACCGACATCATTTAAGGACGTGTCTAATAAAGTAACATTTAGGCTGAAGGGTTTGTAGAAAACCCCTGTGGAAAGGCAGGGTGCACCCGGGACAGGTTATCAGTCTCATAGAGACAAACAACCATTCAAGATAATATTCACTCCTGTAGCCAGTTTACAATCAGCAGTTAATTACAATCAGCAGTCCTTGCTGCTCCATCTACTTGACTAACATCTGCATAGACCACTTCAGGTCTCACTTGTATTCTGATACATTATGGAATTTGCACAGGTGTCACATGAATAGGACTGAGTGATTTAGAAGGAAATTTGATTGAGACCAGCGGTTATAATTGAGCTGTTCATGTTGATGATGATACATGAACTTCACATTTTTATTGTGTCTGTGCTGTAATTCTAACAAGCAACAGTCAGTGGCTTTAAATGTGGAACTTCCTAATACTTTTTGACAATGGCAATTTGATCTATATAGCACATTTAATTATATGTAAAGTTCAGAAGATATAAACCCAGTGTAGGTTTTATATGACTTAATGCAGTGAAAACAGCAAAATAAAGCCCCCACACCAATGTCGAAATCATGAATAATCAGAATCACTGACTTTTATCTGGTATTGTTACAGTAGCAGTGTGGATAGAAAGAGTTAATCCATGACTGGGAAACCTCCTGTGTACGGTTAACATCAGTTAGTCTTTAATTCTCTTCAAAGACTGTGAGTTCAAACATC